GCACAGACCACCAGACGCCCCCAACCTCACCTGTGCGGGGAACTACATCCCAGATATCTCCCAGTACACTGATTGGGAGTCTCAGGACCTTGGAGCTAGGCAGCGAATCTCAGGTAAGGCCCACCACACCCAGGCAGGGGCAAGAAGGGGCAAGAATCTGACTTCTCTGATACATCTCTTCTGCATGTCCAGGGGGCCCCAGAATCTCAAGCACCAGGAGAGGAGAACCTACTAGGAGAGGCAGCTGGAGGTCAGGACATGGCTGATTCGATGCTGATGCAGGGATCTAAGGGCCTCACTGATCAGGTGAGCTCAGGAAGAGGCTGGAACTTTGGCTTCCTTCTTTTGTCCATTTGTGTCTCCAGGAAGGAGCATGTGATGTATAAACATATAATGGGGAGATGGGGTCCTCAGCTCACTCAGTTTTGCCCACCAACTCCAGGCCATATTTTATGCTGTGACACCACTGCCCTGGTGTCCCCATTTGGTGGCAGTATGTCCCATACCTGCAGCAGGCCTGGATGTGACCCAACCTTGTGGGGACTGTGGAACAATCCAAGAGAATTGGGTGTGTCTCTCTTGTTATCAGGTACGGAGCAGAGGAAGGGGATGGGGTGGAGGTTGGCCTGGGAGCAAACTGCAGGGGGTTGCTGACCCCCATGTGATACACCCCCAAACTCAGGTCTACTGTGGTCGTTACATCAATGCCCACATGCTCCGACACCATGGAAACTCTGGACACCCGCTGGTCCTCAGCTATGTCGACCTGTCGACCTGGTGTTACTACTGTCAGGCCTATGTCCACCACCAGGTGAGCCCTGGGTAGACCCTTCAACACGTGCACACTCACCCCACTCACACACACTCCTTCTGTGATTTCGTAAAGGGAGACCACAGGCCCCTCTGCATGGCTGCCTCGTGATTATTTTGCGTGAGGCAGGGGCTGTGGGATAGTCCAGAAGACCGAGTGGTTGAGGGCTGGAGTCGGGGCAGCCTTGCAGCTGAGGTAGAGGGGTCCTTACTCTCTCTCACCTGCCCTATTTTTGTCTCCTCCTCAGGCTCTCCTAGATGTGAAGAACATCGCCCACCAGAACAAGTTTGGGGAGGATATGCCCCACCCATACTAAGCCCCAGAATACGCTCCCTCTTCACCTTCTGAGGCCCACGATAGACCAGCTGTAGCTCATTCCAGCCTGTACCTTGGATGAGGGGTAGCCTCCCACTGCATCCCTTCTTGAATATCCTTTGCATCTCCCCAAGAGTGCTTATTTAAGTGTTAATACGTTTAAGAGAACTGCGATGATAAATTGTGGATCTCCCCCTGCCCATTGCCTGCTTGAGGGGCACCACTACTCCAGCTCAGAAGGAAAGGGGGACAGCTCAGTGGCCCCAAGAGGGAGCTGATATCACAAGGATAACATTGGCGGGAGGGGAGTTAACTGGCAGGCATGGCAAGGTTGCATATATAATAAAGTACAAGCTGTTACAAAACCTGGAGAAAGCCTTTTGACTTTGAGCAGGTGGAGAACCCTACATCCCTGGCCAGCAGAGCCGATGAGTAATGAAGATATGAGGGAGTGGGTCTCCATTAGGTCAATCCCCTACCCAGCCATTGCCCCCAAAAACTAACTGAAAATCGAGCAGCCATCTTGACTGGCTCCACCAGTGATGAAATGGTAGAATCCATGAGAAAATGGGTGCTTGCCTTAGAAATAGGGGCCTTACAGCCAGTCCCAGCCACACCCACACCCTAGGCTGAGAAGGCAAGAAAACTAATAGGAAGGATCCTCACCAGGCCTGTTTTCCCATTTGTATCATTTGCCTGACTGGGGATGGGGGGAGGTCCAGGTTTAACTTGAATGTGGTGGTCATGGTAGCTTCTTGGCAGAAGAGGTGCCTGCCATTGACCAGAGGTGGGAAATTGGAGGACAGTCTAGGAGTTGGATTTCTCCCATGTGGTGAGAATTGCTTTGGCAGCTCAAGAGAGTGGGGGCTGAGGTTTCCAGGACTTTTCTTCATGGCCACTTTATGATCCCAAGCTGACCACCACAGCCCCACCCAGTCAAGAAGAGGAGGGATGGGAAAGGGCTGGGGCTGCCCTGTATTAAGAGCCCTCTAGATGCCCCACCCACAACCTCTGCTGCCCTCTCATTGGTCAGGACTGTGCAGGTGGTTGCCATAGCTGCAAGGGAGCCTCGGAAATGTGTAGCTTGACAGCAGCCTCCGATCAGGGGCTCTCTTCCCTGACGGAATGACCCTTCCTCTCTGTCAGTGTCCTCTTTTCTCCCAAGCCACCAAAAAACAGCTGAGGCGGCACAGCCTCAAGAGCTTCGCCATCCTGGTCAAAATCTCACCCCCACCCCCACCTCCCAACACACACACACACACACACACACACACACACACACACGACAGGAGGCGCTGCAGGGGACTCAGGGAGGTCTGGCCGCCATTTGCGCACCCCTAGAGGCCGCTGTGGCACCCACATGTCTGCACGCAAGCCACCTTTGGGGCACGACCCCGTGCTCCCCCAGGGGGCAGAGTCGCGGCGTTGCGGGGGGCCGGCCTGAGGAGCCGAGGGAGGGCGGCTGCACAAGGCCACTCCCCTACCCGCCGCCTGGGGGCCCCCGGAGAGCAGCATCGCCCCCCGCCAGGCCTGTCAGAGCGTCCCAGCGCACCATCCTCCTCACGGACACAGGTGAGCGGGGCGCCCGTGCCCTGGCCCTGCCAGGTCTGGGAGTCTCCCCATGCCGGCTTTGGGGGACACTCCCCCAAGCGCCAAGCCTTCAGGCGAGCGGCTCCTCACGCATGTCGGCCCTGGGCTGGAAGCGGGGCCGTCTCACCCGAGTCGGGATGGGTCTCGACAGGGCGCCTAGGCTACGCTACTCACACCGAGCCCGAAGTGGAGTCCTGGTTTCAGGGACTCCTCTGCACTCTGAGTTTTGCACCTCACCCGGCCTCGTCCGGGAAAGCGCGACTGGTGAGGCCAACCTGACCCCGGGTCCCGACCCCTCAGCGCGCCGGCCTGGGTGAGCTGGGCAAACCCCCATAACCTGGTCCCGGGGGCTCCGAGCACGCGGCCACTGGGACCTTCCAGAGGCTCCATGCCACTTGAAAGGACCGAGAGGAGCCGAGACCCCCGGCCGGTCCCCTCGGCACGCGCCTCTGCGCCTCGCGGCTGTGGGGACCAGGGCCGTGGTCTCCCCAAGCGTCGCGGGGACTGGGCCATTGTGACCCCGACCCGCCGGGAACCTGGGGTGGAAGCTGCGCTTGGCCGCTTGGTCCAGTCCCGGGCTCCCCCTCCTCACCGTTGGTAACCCCAGACTCCAGCCGCTCGGACCCCGACTTAGGAGGCAGCCTCAAACCCGCCTCTGCCTCCTGACCCATCCCTAAAGATGGCCAGGCACTGGCCAGGCGCGTTGGCTCACGCCTGTAATCCCAGCACTTTGAGGGCTGAGGTGGGCATATCACCAGCCTGACCAACATGGTAAAGCCCATCTCTATTAAAAATACAAAAATTATCCAGGCATGGTGGTGCGCGCCTGTAGTCCCAGCTACTCGGGAGGCTGAGGCAGGAGAATCGCTTGAACCCGGGAGGCAGAGGTTGCTGTAAGCCGAGATCGCGCCACCGCACTCCAGCCTGGGCGACAGAGCGAGCGAGGCTCCGTCTCAAAAAAAAAAAAAAAAAAAAAAAAAAAAAGATGGCCGACACTCCTACAGGACCCCCAGGAGCACAACTCTCCCTCCACGTGCGCCGCCGCCGCCTCGCCCCTCCCCCAGTCCTCCAGGTCTTCTTCCTGTCCCCAACCGTTGGGGACCCCCAAAGCTCCGTCCTCCGCTTCCTGCTCTCCTCATCCCATCCCCACCCCTCCTTCTGGGCCAGCGCCGCCAGTGACCATTCCCAGGAATACCTTAGAGCTTGAGGACGCCTCAGCCGCATCCCTATTTGGGTCCTTACCCCCACCCGACCTCCGGATCTCCAACTCCACCAAACCTCGAAACCACCATCTGCCCCCAAACTGCCGCTGCTCTAGGCTTTCGGAGGGGAGACGTGGCAACAGCCATTAGGATGCACTAAGCGGAGCACTTCCTGAGCCCTAGGACACCGAGGTGCATTCACTGAGTCAATGGGGTTGTGCTACTGATAACTAACACTAATTGACCACCTACTGTGTGCCCATCCTCTTCAAACATGCAACTTCCTTGTTCCTTACCTTGTTATTGTCTCTTTCTCTCTGCCAGAATGTAATCCTCACAAGGGCAGGGTCTTGAGTCTGTTTTGTTTACTGCCATAGCACAATGCCTGGCACAAAAGAAAATTCTTGAATTAATGAATGAAGATTAAATTATAATTTAAGGGCCGGGTGCAGTGGCTCACGCCTATAATCCCAACACTTTGGGAGGCCGAGGCGGGTGGATCAAGAGGTCAAGAGATCGAGACCATCCTGGTCAACATGGTGAAACCCCGTCTCTACTAAAAATACAAAAATTAGCTGGGCATGGTGGCACGCCCTGTAGTCCCAGCTACTCGGGATGCTGAGGCAGGAGAATTGCTTGAACCCAGGAGGTGGAGGTTGCGGTGAGCCGAGATCGCGCCATCGCACTCCAGCCTGGGTAACAAAAGTGAAACTCCGTCTCAAAAAAAAAAAAAAGTATAATTTAAAAGCCTGGCATGAACTGAGCACCTTCTGCATGCTTATCACCCACTACTAACATACAGTTCACTTTTTTTTTTCTTTCTTTCCTTTTTTTGAGACGGAGTTTCACTCTTGTCACCCAGGCTGGAGTGAAGTGGTGTGATCTCAGCTCACTGCAACCTTTGCCTCCTGGGTTCAAGTGTCTCTCCTGCCTCAGCCTCCTGAGTAGCTGGGATTACAGGTGCCCACCACCACATCCGGCCAATTTTTGTATTTTTAGTAGAGATGGCGGTTTCGCCATGTTGGGCAGGCTGGTCTCGAACTCCTGACCTCAGGTGATCTGCCCACCTCGGCCTCCCAAAGTTCTGGGATTACAGGGGTGAGCCACCGTGCCCGGCCCACTTTTTTATCTAGTTTGTTATCTCACACCCCGACCAGAATATAACCTTCATGGGGGCTACAGTTTGTTGTTTATTGCCCACCTCCGTGTCCTGGCCACATAGTAGGTTCGCAATAAATATATGTTGAATAATTAATAAATAAAGACTACATTCTAATGATAATGGCTAATGGACCACATGATTTACATACTTATTTGGTTTATTGTATTATCTGCCTCTGCCTTTTAGAACATAAACCTTCTAGGGGTGGCAATGTTGAGTCCCTACTCTCTGGCAGGCACCATGTTGGGCTGGGATTCAAAGGTGACCAAAACTGGCAAAATCCTGCCCTCCCTCTGCCATGGGGAGGAACTGTTAATGGCCATGGGGATTCTCTTTGGGGTGAGGAAACCGTTCTAAAATTTAGTTATGTTGATAGTTGTACAACTTAGTGAATGTGCTAAAACCCGTTAAATTGGACATTTTAGCTGGCTGAACTTGATGGGATGTAAATTACATCTCAATAAAGCTGTTTGAGTAATCCAGCCTTCACAATTGTCTGTTTGAGTGAGGAGGGAAGGAGAGACGGGGAGGTGGGGTGGAGGGGAAGAGAAAACAGCATAAATCATGCATATATAGCATGCAAATTGGAAGGTGATCAGCACACAATAGGCACTCAATAAATGTTGAAATAATGACACCTCACTGTCTCCTTGCCCTCAGATGGTCTCCCCTAAGATTTCCTCGATTGTCTTGCTTCTTCTCTTCCCACTTGCAGAAACTGCTGCCCACACCTCTACCCTGAGCTGCCTGCTGGGAGCATGGAGCTGCCAACAAAGTCTGGCACTTTCGACCTGGGCCTGGCCACATGGAGCCCTACCCTCCAGGGGGAAAACCACTGGGGTCAGGCACGCTGCAGGGACGTTGGCAGGCAGCTGCCTGAGTACAAGGCAGTGGTGGTGGGCGCAAGTGGCGTGGGCAAGAGTGCGCTGACCATCCAGCTGAACCACCAGTGCTTCGTGGAGGACCACGATCCCACCATCCAGGATTCCTACTGGAAGGAGTTGGCCCTGGACAGCGGGGACTGCATTCTGAACGTGCTGGACACAGCAGGGCAGACCGTCCATAGAGCCCTGCGTGACCAGTGCCTGGCTGTCGGTGATGGTGTGCTGGGCGTCTTTGCTCTTGATGACCCCTCGTCTCTGATCCAGCTACAGCAGATATGGGCTGCCTGGGGCCCTCACCCTGCCCAGCCCCTTGTCCTCGTAGGCAACAAGTGTGACCTTGTGACCACCGCTGGAGATGCTCATGCTGCTGCCGCAGCCCTCGCACACAGCTGGGGTGCCCACTTTGTGGAGACCTCAGCCAAAACACGGCAAGGTGTGGAGGAGGCCTTTTCACTGCTGGTCCATGAGATCCAGAGAGTCAAGGAGGCCATGGCGAAAGAGGCCAGGGCAAGGTCCTGTGTGGAGAAGACCCGGCACCAGAAGGCCACCTGCCACTGTGGCTGCACTGTGGCCTGAAGGTCTTGGCCAAGAAATGTAGACCCTCCCCAGGCCAGGGTGATTGTTCGCTTGACTTGAGACTCCTGAAGCTACTAGCTTTGAGGGACACATTCCATATACTAGGGAAAGATGGACACCTCTCTTGTTTTCACTTGGTGAGGGGCTTTTTGGTAACACAGGAGTACCTAGTGTTGCTTTTGTTATGTCAAGTTGAGAGATTTTGTGCAAAATTAAATAAATGGTGTTTTGGGTTTCAAAGCTGCCTCCGTTCCAAGTGTTACGTGGGTGGGAGTGAGACTGGGTAGAATGTTGCTTGAGTTGTGAGAATTCTTTCATTCAAGAAATTCAGGGGGAGCCCACTGTGTGATACTTTGGATACAAAGGAGGTAGAGGCAAACAAGACACTTAAAAACCTGACCTTATAGATATGATATCGTGCTAGACAGTGATAGAGGCTATGTATTAAAGGCAGGTGAAGGAATAGGGTGACAGGTCAAGTAAAGCCTTCTTGAGAGTAGATGACATCTGGACAAAAACTTGGAGATAACCATGGGCAGAGGGACTGGCCAGTGCAAAGCCCATGGCCATAAATCAGCTGCCACCATAGCAACCCTCAGTATCTCCAGGGCCTCGGCAAGAGTACAGGTAGGCCTCTATACTATATGACTAAATATGTGAACATTTAGACATTACTAGTCAAGTTTTACAAAGTAAATGAAATACACCCTACCCTCCCACTTTGGCAAATACACTGTTAGTGACCTGGATGCTCAGGCTCCAATTTCTCAGCCTTCTCAGAGTTCCCCACCAGAATGTGCCTGTCTGCCAGAGTGTGCCTATATGGGGACCTCCCGATCCCCCAGTGCTCAGCCCCCTCCCTTTCTCTCCCCCTCATCAGAAGGTGCTCATGTGTGCCTGCGACATCTCAGCCAGCACCTCAAGCTCTACTCATGTGACACAAGCCACCCCTTGGCCCTCAGGAGGATGGACCCTTGGAAGATGATGGTGCAGGCCCTGAAAGCGGTTTCAAAGCCTGGGATCCCCATACCCAAGTGAGGTCTAAAAGGGGGACACAAGATCTGCGTGGGCACTGCCGTTATCCATGTGGATGCCTTCCCCTCCACCCCTAGGAGAGGCATAGACTGAGCAGGTGATGGTTCTTAAGTGCAGGACCCAGGGTAGGGGCTCCTCTCCCCTAGTCAAAGGGCCACCACCACTTCGGAAACCACTGGCCCCTAGAAACTGCCACTAACACAGACAAGCACAGAGCTGCTTCAGATCATGTTTATTGTGGGGCCAGTGGGTAGGGATCCTCGGATGGGAGGGCTGGCTGGCCGGGGAAAGTTGCTCTGAACGTGCTGGCGGGGAGCAGTGCAGGTGGTGGGATGGCGGGGGCACTCCTAGGTCCCACGGTGGACGGGATCCGGGCTATGCTCACGGTGGCAAGAGGCGGCGTGCAGGCATCTGGGGCGCCGGGGTCTCTAGGCGTTTCACGCGCAGCAGCGCCCCCAGAACGCCCTCAGGGGGCACCTCGGAGCCCACATCCTGGTCAGCAGCGCGGCGGAAGCGGCGCGGGGTTGCCACCCCCTCGGAATCCGCGCTACCTGCAAGAATCCGTCCCAGCAAGTACCTGCAGGGCCGAGCGCAATGCAGTGAGGCTGTGTCCGCTGTGGGGCGTTACCCGTCCCCTCCCCCGGAGCCAGGCATCCTTGCCCCTACTCCATGGAGCCAGGACCTCACTCCTAGGGCCCCAGGACTTAGGGGTTCGCACTCCACGAGGGATGCAGGAGTCCCAGTTCCTCGCCCTCGTCCTCCTCGGACGCAGGCGCCCGATCCCTTCCCAACCCCTGCCGGGCACCTCAGCAGCTCAGGGTCCACGTCGGGTGTCTCGTCGCCGGCGTCCTCGGCATCCTGGCCCGCGGGGCCGTCGTCGTAGACCGGCGGCCGGGATCGGAGCGCCGCGGCGGGGACGGGCGCGGGGACAAGCTGGGCTGCGAGGGCCGCAGGGTCAAGGCGGGCGCGGAGCAGGGCGCGGGCGAGCTGCGCTGCCGGCGCGTCGGGGTCGTCGTCCAGGCCCAGAGTCGGGTCAGAGTTGCGGGGGGCGCCCCAGACGCGCAGCATCTGCGCCAGGACGCGCGCCTGCTGATCCTCAGCCTCCTGCGCCTCCGCCCGCGCCCGCTCTTGCCGTTCGGCCTCCAGCAGATGCGCCAGCGCCCTCGCCAGCTCCTGCACCGCCCCAGCCGCCTCGCCTCGGGGCACTGACCGCCGGAAGCGGCGGGGAGTGCCAGTCTCAGCCAGGGGCGGCGACGCTGCGCTTAAGCCGCGGGGCTCCTGCGGGGAAAATGAGGTGGGGGAAAAGAGGTTGTCAGTGTCTGTCGAGCCAGGGACTCCCAGCCCGGGAATCTCCGTGGACCTCAAACATCCCAGATGCCACCAAAAGCGGACACCCCTAAGGCCACTAGAAACCCCCAAATATCTCCAGACACACTTAAGACCACCAAAGATCCCCAGACACCTCCCCATCCTCACACCACAGCGTGCCAGTGATCCCTTGGTGACGCTCATAATTCCTCCCTCCCCATCCTCACTCCTGGAGACCGGGTTTCTTCACATGAAGTGGTGATGGTAGATATGACAGTTACAGATTTTTCCATATTAATATTGTGGACAATAGGAACTATATAAATAAACTTATTCATATATCATTTAGCATGTGTACAAGTTCATCTGTAGAATAAATTATCCAATGACAAATTTTCAGTTCAAGCAGTTTTGAAACCATTTCCACAAGTTTAAAGAACTAAAAGAGGGTACCAATATTCTAAGCAAGGAATAAAAGATAAAAATGACCATGTATGCCCTAAGTGCATGCAAAAAAGAACAAAGAAAAAGAAAAAAAAATGACCATGAAGGTTCGGAAAAGAAACATACAGGCCACATAGAAATATGTTTAAAAGGAGCGATGCCGGCAACACAAATAGTCAATAAAAGAGTAGTTCAGAGAAGATACAGAGAATTCCTAAAAAGTGGTAAGAGAAAAACAAACTCATACAGAAATAGAAAAAATACATGATCACCTATTTCACAAAAATGATTACTAAACATATGAAAAATTGTGCCAGGTGTAGTGGTTCATGCCTGTCATCCCAGCACTTTGGGAGGCCAAGGCAGGAAGATCACTTGAGGCCAAGAGTTTGAGACCAGCCTAGTCAACATAGCAAGACCTATCTCTACAAATAATAAAACAAAATAGTCCCAGCTACTTGGGAAGATGAGGTGGGAGGATCCCCTGACTCCAGGAACTCAAGGTCACAGTGAGCTCAGATCACACCACTGTACTCCAGCCTGCATGACAGAGGAAGACCCTGTCTCTATGAAACAGAAAATTAAATTAAAAACCTCATTAGTAATCAGGGGAAAGCAAATTAAAATGCCAGTGAGATACTATGCATAATATAATCAAAAGATTGACCCAAGTCAGAAAGTATGATAATATAAAGTGTTGATATGAATGCAGAAAAATGGGAACTCTCATACTATGCTGTTGAGAATTAAACTGGAAAAGTAATTTTGAAGAGCGGCTTAACAACCTCTAAAAAAATGCATACATCTTATGACCCACTCCTGGGATGTTACACCCCAGAGTAGCTTTGGCACATATACTACTGGTCACAAGTTCATGAAAGATGGCGGCAGCACTGTTCATAATAGCTTAAGGGGGGGGAGGAGAAAAGCCTGGAAACAACCCAATGTCCACTGACAAACTGAGAATGCATTTATAAATCATAAATCATGACGTCCTCATAGGATATGATATCATGCAGCAATAAAAATAAATGAATTATAGCCACATGCATAGACTTGGATGAACCTCCGGACCAAAGTAGAGTCAAAAAAAAAAAAAAAAAGCCAAGAATTTTTTTTTCCAGAATTTCACTACAGACTGCCTGAGACTACCAGACACCCTGAGGACTTCCTAGTGACCCCTAGTGACTGCAAGGAACCAGTCACCCAGTATGATTCCATTTTGATGTTCAAAAGCAGGAAAAACTAAACAATGGATTGTTTTGAGAGCTACACATATGTGATAAGCTACAAACAAAAGTAAGGGATTAATGAACAGAAGATACAGAATAAGGACTATGGGGGCGTAGGGGCTGCCATGGGGAGGGGCACACAAGGGCTTCTAACTCTTAGGCTCTATTTATTCAGCTTAGTGATTGTACACGGGGGAGTTATTTTGTCATCATTTATATTGTACATTTATATTAAACACATTCTTACACGGATATAAGGTAGCTATTTTTGTAAATTCCCATGTTTGACACAGACAGTATTGAAGAACTAGAGGAGGATGCCTCTGCAAGTGCCCTTGCTTGGCGCCCCCCACTCCTCAGTCACCCTGGAGTATCACACTCACCAGCAATCACAGCCTCACACACACTCATGAAGACTGACAGACCTGGAGATGTCACAAATGCAACCCAACACTGCCACAGCCACATGCAAGGACCTGCACACATTCACATCCGTAGCTGCTCCAGCAGTTACACTCGCCAAGCCACCCAGGTGCAAGGACATGCACCATCCTTAAAGACACAATGCAGCAGAGAGACATCATGGCTCCTCTCCTCACGATGACACAGCTCCACAAAGAAAAGGAGAAATAGCCTCAGGGACATCCATAGGAAATCCCAGGCACTTGGTCCAACAAAACCCCTAGGGGAATGTGGACCTGGAGATGCGAAGACCACTCCCTCTCAAGCAAAATCGAAATCACACACAGACACACACACACACACACACACACACACACACAGAAAGAGAGAGACAGAGAGAGAGAGAGGGAAGAGGGAGAGACACGCCCATAGGACATGCCACCACACATATAAAGATTCACAAATATACACACAGTGTCACTGAGAAAACAATCGGCCCCACAAAAGAATCGCGCCAAGAAGTATCCCGGTATCACACACACTACATACCCAGACACACGGTGGCACCTTTGTAGGACACTTGGAAGCGCTCAAACCAAAGAACACACACTTTCAAGGACACGACACCTCCACACCGCTGTCCTCACATCACACGCAAACACATCGATGCGCGCGCGCCCTTTCTTAAAGCGCCCTAGTGCCGCGGACTGCTCCACAGGCACCGGGCGCGGAGAGGTGGGCAGGGCCCGGCTACCGGCGGCGCCAGGGACACCACCACCCGCACAGGCAGAAACCG